CAACAGCCATCAAGGCTTGTGCCGTGGACCTGTCCAGAGCTGGGTTCTGCCAAATATGCGCACGTTGGGTTAGACAGGCCCTGGACCAACCTAGAAAACCCGACTGCTACCAGAGCCACAGGGCTGATAACCCCAATGGGCTGCTGCAGGGACCCCATGCAAGCCCCCTGACTGTCCCCCTAGAAGGTCTTCAGGGGGAATGGGGCAGTGGTGGCTCAGAGGAGATGCTCCCTAGGGTGGGGTGGGGGATGAGTGAAGGCTACAATGGACCACCATGAGCACCCTCCTGGGAGCCTCCACCAGGAGACGGAACCCCAAGCCTCAGTGCTCTAGAACCTGCACTAGGCTGGGGGCCGTTTCCACCCTGGACCCACCCTGCTGAGCTGCTGCTGCCCTCCTGGGCTGGGGCTAGGCTTGATTTTGGGACTTTTGGGACTCATGACACCCAAAGGGCCACTGAGGCGGGGCAGGCAGCGCAGCCGGGGTATGAGCAGGAGCTGCGGGGAGTGAGATTGTCACCAGGAGGAGGGTGAAGAAGGTGAGATGGTTGCAGGAGCACACTGTCCCCTCGTCCCTGGGCTGTGTGACACATCCGCTGCTGCTCCAGCCTCCTGCCTGCCCTGCAACAGGCACAGGGCGACGGCTGTGAGCACTGGGCAAGGCGGGGCAGGCAGCGCAGCCGGGGTATGAGCAGGAGCTGCGGGGAGTGAGATTGTCACCAGGAGGAGGGTGAAGAAGGTGAGATGGTTGCAGGAGCACACTGTCCCCTCGTCCCTGGGCTGTGTGACACATCCGCTGCTGCTCCAGCCTCCTGCCTGCCCTGCAACAGGCACAGGGCGACGGCTGTGAGCACTGGGCACAGCACCCGTAGGCACAGGGCGACGGCCGTGAGCGCTGGGCACAGCACCCGTGCCCAGCCCCACGCCCGGCCCCACCGAGGACCATACCTTTGCTGGGATCCCAGAAGACGCATTGCGGGGTGACGCCCTGCAAGGAGGAAGAGCAGCGTCAGCCGACGCCACAGTGAGGGGCACTGGAGGAGCGATGGAGGGAGGACACGGCTGACTTACATTGGGCAGCTGCCTGTGGGCAAAGGCAAGCTGCACAGGGTTCCGCAGCCCGGAGATGCTCGTCTCTCCCACTGTGATACCCACCACGGTGTCATCCAGGACTTGTCCCATCTGGTTGACCTCCTGTGTGGGGGAAACACTGCCTGAGCCGAGCCGGCAGGTAGTGAGTGCTGGCAGCCAGAGGGATGCGGGCAATGCCAGCTCGTACCTTGAACATGCCAAGCCGCTGGATGTTGAGGACCGTCACCACCACATGTGCTGTCCGGCTGCTCAGGGACCGGAATATCTCCCTGGGGAGCTGGATTTTGCCTGCCTTGCCCTTCTCCGTCATGTTCAGCATCTTAGGGCCCTGTGGTGGAGAACAGCGGTGGGGGGGCTGCTTGCTGACAGCGTCACCTCTCAGCTTGGGACCCACCGACCTTGCTCCAGGCACAAATTCAGCCCTGCCTGGGTGGGTTTTGCTCGGCAACATCGGCAGGAGCCCCGAGGGCAGAAGGGGAGAGCCTCATCCCCAGCACCCAGCAGCAAAGGGGCAGAGTTGGGAGCAGCTCCCAGGAGAGCCCCAACCCACCATCACCTCATGGGACATGGTCCCCTGGGACACCCAGAGAGTGGGAGAGCCTAGGGGTGGGCAGGAGGTGCAAGGTCCCACACGTTCCTCCTCCTCTTCCTCCCCCTGACTACCCGCCTGCTGCTGGGACGGCTCCTTGGGCAGGGCTCTTTCCGCCCCAGCACCATTTCACGTGACTCCTTGCCAAGCTAAAGCTGACGTGGGTCCATGATGCAACCGTGTAGCAGGGTGGAGGAAGAACACGCCACGGCATGCTAAGCCCCACGGCAGGGACCGAGGGATGCTTGGAAGGCGCAGAGCCCTCCGAGCGAGGGAGAGGGGCGCATCTCACCTCCGTGGGGGAAAATGTGATGAGGACATCACGGGTGACAGCCCTGCTGACGTTCAGGAGCAGCACCTTCAGCCCA